GTGCTTACACTGGCCGGCCGTGCCTGTTCGGTGGGGAGCTGGCCCGGCGCTGGATGCGCAAAGCCAACCCCCGGGCGCAGCAGGGCAGCGGCAGGCTTGGTTGCATCCTCCGGTAAGCCAAGAGCTTGTGCCTTTTTTAACTTTTATCTTACCTCGAATCTCGCTGAGACAGCTTACAGGCAGAAAGCGAAGCATGTGCGTAAGTGTTTGGAGGACCAAAGCCAGAATCTCATGGCCTTTGCTGCTTTTGACAAACTTAATTACCTGTTTCTGCAAGAAAAAGAATAAAAAAAGACATCGCTTTTTATGGTTCACGGCTCTTGTTGGGCACAGAGTCAGGCCCGTTATAATGTCTAGCTGGTGTAACGGGCATTGGCAGATGGGTATTTGTATATGGGATGGGTACAGGAGAGATTACGCACGATGGCAAAAAGCAAACAGTGGAATTGCAGAAGTTCGTTCTTTTTCCCACAGGTCAAGGTTTACAGTTTTGGCTCTTGTGTTTAATGGAAACTTGCATTCTTGGAAATTGCAGCTTTTTTTTCCGAAGTCTTAGGGTTTGTAGTAGGAAGAATAAACAGTACATCAACTTCATGAAAAGATCTAAATTTACATTTTAATGAAGCAAAGTGCAGAGATTTCATTGTGTCAGCTTAACTCCTCCATGCCCAAGGAATATGTGTGTGTACAGTAGGGAGGTTTCTAAAGTTTTCTGTGTATCACTCAAGTGAATGACCGATACAGTATAAAATTTATACAGGACTTAATACCTTACTTCTCTCTGTAAACGGGAGAAAGAAAGAGACGCTTGGCAGGTCTGCTGCAGTCAGGAAGGTTTTAAGTGTATTCAGGCTTGGAAAAATTGAGAAGGTGCATTTGACAGGCAGTATAATCCTCAGCTTGAAGATATCCACCCTGTCGAACACATGCATGTGCTCAGCTTTAAATAGATGAGTGATTCCTGGAAACTTTTCTAGTGCTATCCTTTTCTAATACCAGATGTCCAGTAGTCAGAAAAGAGACAGGCTCAAAGCCCCAGTTGTATTAGGCAATTAGCTAAACATTTGTGTATGAAATTAACTTCAGGCAGATGACCAGCTCCAGCCTGAAAAATCAGGATCTAAAACAATTATCTTTAGGTTCTAACCAGACTCTGAGTAAAATACATAAAGTCACTTGGGTGGGTATCTACGGGATAAGCATCGCTGGGGCCAGCTATGGCACTACGTAGTCTGGGCTCAGAGAACTCAGGACATTACCCTGCTACAAATGAGGTGGCAGGGACTGGTCTTGGGGGGCTGACTCATCTGTTTAATGCAGCCTCCAAAAAGGCAGCTCACTTGGGTGTAAATATTCAAAATAACGGATGTAATACACATGCAAAAAAGTTCCTTTTCCTTTTTTCCTTTTCCTTTTCCTTCTCCTTTTCCTCCTCCTTTTCCCCCTCCTTTCTTCCTTTTAGCTCCTATGAAGTATTTGTTCCATGCTAGGGCTAGAAACAAGATTGATGTTCCCCAGTATGGCTGCTAGCTGCATCTCAACAAAATAAAGAAATGTCTGGGAACTGCATGGAAACCCCCTTCCTTCTTCATAAGATCCTTGAATTATGTTATTTTGCTTCTGACACAAATTTACTCATGTCACATGCCCAGTTGCCCAGTTTCCTCTGAAGTTATTATTGAAATCCACAGCTTTATAAACAGGAACACAGAACCGCGAAGAGATGTCACTTTTATTTACTTGCCAGCTTAGACCATAACCCACCACTGTGATTGCGTTCAGTTTCAGCCCCTTCTCACTCTGCCAAGGCCCCTCAGCTGCTGGTGTGCTCCTTGCCCTGTCTCTGCTGGCAGTGACTGGAACTGTGCGACACAAAGTTAGCGCGTGGATTAGCAGCTAGTTTGGCAAAATGGACCAAAATCATCTTCAAGGGCAGGTGGGAGCAAGGATGGACCTTCCTCAAGCTGGTCAGGTGGAACAGAAACAGCCGCCAGCGCTGGTACTGTCAGAGACCCCTACGACCTCTCAGCACCACTTGTTCCCCGCTAACTTGCTGGAGGTTTCCTCCCCCTTAATTGAGCACCGTGCAGAGGCCTGATTTTTTGTAGCTGAGATAGGAAGGGGTCCCACCAAACACACACAGATAATCTTGGCACAACCCCAGTGTGACTAAATAAAAGTTGTTGATCGTTTTCCCCGTCATCAGACATTGGAAGAAAAGTGCTCATAAAATCCCGTCTTTCCACCTCCACCTGTTCTGTACTGAAAGAGCTTCCCCCTCACAGGAGGGGATGCCTTCCTCCTCTCTTACACTTGAGATTAGCTTCGAGGAAGTCTGCTGGGCCACGACTGCCGGGATGTGAAGATCAGGAGCACCAGAACTATTCCCTCTTCCTGGTTAAACATTATGAGACATGATTTTGAGCACAGCATCCACTTCCCCAAGTTACAGTGTATGAATACGCTCTGGAGAATGACAGCTACGAAAAATGTTCCCCTTTGCCCTTCTAAATACTTGCTTGGTTGCCACATGCACATTTAAGTCTGAGATTTAAGTAATAGCTGGGAAAATCTCCCAAAATGACTCCTAACCCTTTTTATAAGGAACATAGTGTCTGAGTGCTGCGAACACAGCCTTTTCAGGCAAAAAATGATCAGAATTGATGGCAGGTTTGGGTCCAGTTTTATTACGGCCCATCATGCATCTCTCTTCTTGCTGTTTCATTTCCCCTCCACCCACAACAGTTACTGATATTCACTTTCCAATTATGCCTATCTAAAAAAGGATTAAATAATGTGCTTAGACATGAATCTGAAATTTCCACATTATAGTTGTGTCCAGCCCTTTCAGAAAATCCTGCTTTGTAATAAGTTTTGTTTGAAATTCTAATCTTAGCTTAGAGATAGGATGACTTTGCAGGCGTCCAGAGATGTCATGCACTCAGCACGAGGCTTCCACAAAGACACAAAGCTGATAAGCCATATTCGGATAGCATGGATGAACTCTTCCCCAGCTAAACTGACAGTAGATCCATCAAACATGAAAGAGCAGAAACTGCAAACTAAGGGCGTCTGTTACCCTGAACCAGCTTTTTTTTTCTGTTTCATGTAAGAGCGGCAGGACAAAAATAGTCTTTATCATCAAAATACATGTAACTAGTGCCCCTCATCCAATATTACTAAGTTGCATAGTGAAGTGTGTAGATGTTCTGTGGGTTTGTTGGCAGAGGGATTGTTTCCCATTAAAACTCTCTGGTTGGGACAGGATACATCTGCCTTTTTTGTTGAAATCTGGTACTCTGACTTCTCTGTGCGCGTCAGGCTATGGGGTGCAGCCTGTCGACCCTCTGCAAAGCTAGCAATAAGTTGGCAGTTCTGTAAATCTCTGTTATGGTACTTCCAGTGCTGACAAACAGGGTCTGGTGCATTTGTCACCGGGAGTTTAGTATTTTCTATCCCCCTGCATGTAGTCATCAGGTATCAGGTGGGGTGATACGTTGTGGTTTAGCTTCTGCAGTTCAGTGAGCTGATGGGCACTGCTGGCCATGGCGAAGGTATTCCCTACCTTTGTATCTGCTCCCTGCGTAGCACGGGGAAGAAAGAGAGACCCGCACCATCTTGGGTAAACTGTCTTAAGTGGCAGTAGCTATATCCCCTAGAGCGTGTCCTTAGCTCTTCAAGCAGGTCTGAGCTTGCTACAGTTTGAACAGCATTAGGCTGACTTCAGACTATCTCTGCTCGCGGCTGGCTCCATGGGCTTCGTGGGCAGTGATACTCCAGCCAAACCTGTCCAGAGCCGGGCCCCTGCTGCTGCTTGCAATGCAACACATGTTCCCGCGCTGGCTCCCGTGGCCTTTCCTAGGAAGCGCTGCTGTCCTTTGAGGGCTCACCTGGTACTGCAGAGGGTCAGCACATGGGCCACCAGCGTGCATCAGTGAGAGAGGGCACGGTCCTAGAGAAATGCATTCAGCCCCTTAGTGTGAGAGAGCAGCCAGGGAACCGTCTTGGGCTGGGGCTGCAGCCCCTGGCCTCCTGCACAGTCAGCAGTGTGGGGGAAGAAGAGGGGAGAGGAGAGGAAAGATTATCACACCCAAATTACATGGTTCCTACAGTCATCTGATTTATGACATCCAACATCTTTTAGCCTCTGTTTCCCTAACTCCACCTCTGCTCCAGGGACATGCATGAGCCAAGAAAGGGGTAGTTGAAAGAAATGCCTTGTCCTCCAGGATATACCTTACATTCACTCTCTGCCATAAGCCCTAGCCTCATTTCGCTCTAGAGATGACCACATCATATTAAATCCTTGTGCA